TGTTAATAAATAAGAAAATTCATGTTTTTCTATTTCACTTGCTGCTGATAAAATCCGTTCAATCTATTTCAAGATTATATTTAAAGTAAATATGATAAAGAACTTAAGAGAGACTTCGCCAGATCACAACTTAGACATATTCTATCCACACGCTCAGAATACAGCTTTAGTTCTTTTAGGACTCTGAGAAGTGACGAAGTTGGAGGTAAAATATGCGGACTACTGACTACTAACCACCTATACCTTTTTTGCTATTCTTTTGACACCTTTTACAGGTCTGTTAGGAAAAACTTGATATTTTGTATTTAAGAGTTTAATGAGATGACTATTCATTTGACCTCGGGAGGTCATCTGGCGGACTCTTTTTCAAATTACTTTTCCATCATCTTTTTCCACGGCAAACCATCGTTGAGAAATAAAATGAAATTTTTCCATTGTTTGTAAATCCCGAATAATTATATATTTAAGAAACCATGATGATGACAAACCTTCGCCTGTATTATCATGCCATATACGAATACAATTTAATAATCCCAAAGTTCTAAATAGAAACTTATCTCTATAAGTAAAATATAATTCTACAATGAAGTTTTACTTTGGAACACTCATTATAAATGCATCAATACCACCACGTTGTAAAATCTTTCGATGTGGATCCGCTAATGTACGAACATGTGTCTCATGTTCTTCACCATATATGACGAAATGAACCTATTGAATATATATTTTAATTAGATATTCTTTCTTTTTGCAAAATCTTACATTTGAATTTGTTCCAGCATCTTTTCTTTGACCAGTAAAAACAATAATTTCATAAATATATTCATCTGATTGATGATTATCAGGTAATGGTGTAACTCCTAATTTTTCAAGATCTTTTTTATCTTTATAACGTGCATAAATTGTCAATATGATGTATAATAAAGATACAGAAATCACTGTTAAATAAATAATTATGTTTCGATTAAAATCCGCATTGGCAAAAACATAATTCCAATTAATTGGTTCAGGTAAAACAACAAAACCACCAGCAAAACTTGTTAAATGTGTGGAAAAACATTGAGTTTGATTATGATTTGTCAAAGGACCAGCTATTAATCCATCTGATTTCCATTGACTATTATTATCGAGATAATAACAACCTGATGTATAGATTCTTAATTGATAATTTGATGTAAAATTAAATCTTTCATTTGTTATTGGAAGATAAGTGATGGAAGAATTTGAACATACATCATTCATTTCTGTTGAATTTAATTCTCGTAAACCAAATATAAGAGATTGATGACCAAATGTTTGTTCATTATTAAGAGAATAGTGATAAATACTTTCATTTGTCAAACCTATATCGAAATCAAATTGATAAATGAAATAATTTAAATAA